CTACCGACTCTCTGATTATGCTTGACTCTAATAGGTATACATAGCAAGCTTTTCCCATTCCTAAGTTAGTTAGCTTAGTTGTCTGAATATGGGATCCGTAGCGAACGACTGGCACTGCAAATAGCTATTCTAATGTTATACGTGATTCGAAATACGTGCAAAAAATGCATGAAATATTGAACTGGTTGCTTTGCTCGCCAAAAATGTTTCATTTGTTCTAGTATAGTTATGGACATGCTGCAGGTGGTGGCTGTTAATGAGGCTGGTGCCGGAGGGAGTATCTGTAGAATTAGAGCAGACCTGAATGAAAACGGCAAAACTCAGTGTACAATTATCGGTGAGTAAACTGTAAAGTAATAGGCATGGGGCCCATAGACCATGCATTCAGAACACTGGGCAGAGCAGCGCTACATGTGAATCACGCCTGTTAAGAAATAAAGAGAAAGAAAAAGGAGGGTTGTGAGGTGCTATCTCGTATGGACGGGCATGCAAAAGCAAAAGAGGTTGCGCACAACCAACATCCTAAGCCATCTGCGCGCATGTGGCCAAATGTAATCAAGCACTGTGGCTGCAAGAGGAATGGGCTTTAGCTGGTGTTTCAGGCAGGGTATTCCATTTCTCTTTCGCTCACAAATTGTAGTACAATGCTGTGCACATGCACTGATAGAGAGACCATATCTTGCATTTCAATGCAGGCTGCAATGAGTGTCCAGAGCAGACAAGGAAAACGGAGCTTATCCGCTATCCAAAGACTACAGTTGGTGAAGGAGCAGAATGTGTCAATGTGGCTGCAGCCTGTGTGGAGAACGCGGTACCACTCAGCTCCAGTCTGGAGGTGACATGCTGCTCTGGTGTCTGGCGGGTTAATGAGGAGCTTCGGTGCAAATGTATTGACAACTACAAAGCCACTGATGCTGGGACTTGCATAGGTAAGTCACTTGCTTTTCCTTTTCTACCTCCTAGTGTAAATATAATTATATATTAAAGAAAAAGTTGATATAAATAATTATTATGCTATATTTTTTACTTATTCAACTGATGCCTACCTCAGTTCCTGGAGACAGAGAGAATGGCTGTAGTGAGGAGTCCTGTGGCTCAGCTGTCATTGCTGTGTCAGAAGTATCTCTCCTACTGATCCTCATCACAGTCATCCTCACTGAATATCTACTCATCATCAGAATGAGGAGGTTTATGAACAAGACTGAGACCTATGCAGAGGCCACTAACCCCATATACCACCAAGTTAACAGAATATAGCCATACAAACTGCTGGTCAATGCACTTTCACTGGTGTAAACAATCTAAACTATTAGGGATAATTTTGTTCTACACATGCACTGACATAAGGACACTATTGCTGTTACTGTAGAAAACTCATGCTGGTACAAACTTTGCTTTTTCACTATTTTCTTATGGTCATGGTCTTCACAGTTGTTTTAAATCTTTATGGAATCACTAATTTGTCTTCACGTTCATCTCACTGCCATCTCTCACTCATCCTGTAAAGCTCAGGGTAATGATATTTTTGAACTCTATTTATATGTGACGGCTCTGTCGGGCACTGTACATACCATAATATTCTACGTGATTCTAAATAGGCGCAAAACACGTGCGAAATATCAAACTGTTTACACTCGCTCGCCATAAATTCATTATTTGTGACTATTGCCAGGTGTATGAGTCACTGCTACCACTGGTAAGAGTCCACCAGGACCTCACTGAAGACCTCAGGAGACTACTCCTCCACTTGGCACTAGGCCTGGGTACATTAATTCTGAGCATAGTAGGGAGACCCAAGCAGTAAGGAATTATGCCAGCATAATAGGTAATCTCGTCTGCGTGTTGGAAGGGAAGACACTCATGCGTATATATATAGCCAAATCCATCCATCTTCTAATGCGTGAACTTTCAACTCCACGGAGAATTGAAGCCACTATTGCAAGCCTTAAAGCAGCTTGAATTTTTTCACTAAGCAAAGCTAACGAACTGAAACCAACTACTAGAGATGTTGATGAACTTCATTGCTTCAGCTTCGATTCCTCTTTGCTTGAAGGGCTTAAAGCAGAGCTTGCGACATATCTGGCCTGCTGTGATGGTGTTTCTACTGAAACACCAATCTGTGACTAGTGGAGAAATCATGAATCCGAAATGGGCCGATGCATTCTTCTTCGTCAGCCATCGTCAGGTGCGGCTGAAAGGTTTTTTTCACTGCTAAACAATAGCTTCTCAGACAGACAGTCACATTCATTGGAAGACTATATAATATTATATAGAAACTTCAGTCATGCTACAATATAACCGAAATTCTTGATTGCATAAATATGTTTTTAAAAGTGTTTTTATACAGCATAATAGGTTAATAGTGTGGGAATAATAGGTAAAGAATGAAAAGCACTAAAGTGCAAACCCTCGGCTCAAAATGCGCACGTTTGTTGTTTTGTAAGCTATAAGGTGGGCTGGGCCGTGCGTCGTCCGAAGGAGCCAGTTGTCGCCTAACACAGGCTAGGCTACATCTCAGTGGGTAGTGGGTCTTGTCTATTTATTGCTGTGATATTGTCTCTCAATGCAGGCGTTTCAGCCTTTATATTGTTCTTGCTGAATACTCAGCACTTTTATGTCATTAAGCTGTACACAAAATTTGAGCAACCAGACGAAACTTGATAGGTATTATTTAGGAATGTAGGTTCACAAACTTGTCACCCCTTAGTATGGATAGTATTACACGCTCCCAAATTTGTGAACCTTGAATTCTATTAAAACTTGGTTAAATTCTGTGTTTTGGATATAGTGCCAGACTGCGCTTTACGCTTAGATGGGAAGGCATGGCCGCATCCACAAACTGCTCGTCTAACGTCAACTGCTATGCTACATTGCGGACATACCTTGCTCAGTTTGTTGTCCATGGAGAACAGAGATCAACAATGACCGAGGAGAGAAACTCAAGAACCGCTTGCTCGTCCAAGGTCAACTCGTAGATGAGCATGCTCCGGCAAACGATAATAGCTACGGAAAACTCCCATATACGCGCGTGCGCGATGGATAGCATAATAGGTAGAAAATATGGAATAATGTACCCAAGCTTACTTAGCACCACCTCCTAGGTCTGCATTTATACACACCTTTCCTATACTCTCTGATTCACATATTACTAGGAATGCGCACGCGCATATTTTGCCTCGCGCCTGCCATGCCGTAAACAGTCCTAGTCCGAGACTGAGGCCGCTCGTGCGCGCGCTCTACTGGCGACTGCGCGGGCGCGTGCGCGCGAAGCCAGTCTTCGAACTTCCTGCGCGCACGGCGGAAGCTAGACTTCCTATATACGAATGACGGAAGTTACACTTCCTTTTTGGGACTAATTTACATTCCTAAGCGTTACTAATTGATAGTACGTACGTACTGCGAGAATTCATCCCGCAATTACATTGTTATATACCCACCCTAGTAATGTTCCAGGGATGACGACAGTAATAACACTGAATGGAAATACGGTACGATATGTATACTCCAGCATCCTGATGATTTTGAAGAGGTGACCTTACACTGATCATGATGCTATGGAATCACTTATTCAGACATTCCTCGGGCATTATTTATCACACAGTCACTTGTCTTTAGACTTCTGATGACAGTCCATGGGAACTTGAAAAACCATTGGTGCTAACTCATTTTGATTCCATTGGCAAGGCAGCTCACAATCACAATGTTCAATGTTCATGTACAAGCGCGAAGGGTTTGCACTTTGTTTTTACCATCGGCGCGCATGCGCAGCGAGGGTTGCAGTACGTTAAGAAGTTATGGCAAGTGAACAAGCCAATATGCAAATTTGCACAGGCTTACCTCGACCGGGTCCGCTCGCTCTGTGTACCTTGAAGTCACAACGGAGGACGTTTATCGACTCTCGCGAGTAAACGCATACTAATAGCCTAGCAGTAGACTATCGCGCATGCGCAGCTCGCCGAGGGTTTTCCACGTTGTGTTGGTTATAGTGTGTAAACACACCCCATAATAATGTTGTGTGAGCTGTTTAAATACCATGCTCAGTGGACTGCTTGCGTTCTGTCTCCATAATTGTGTTGCATTCAATATAACAATGTCAACAGAAACGTATTTTACTAAAAGTCAAACTCCTACGAATATAGCTACATACTACTAGAGTTGGTTTTTAGGGTGTCAGCTTTAGCTATTTGCTGCAGACAGCACATGTCAGTTCCTTGGTGTTCTCATACGGAGGACAGGACAGACTGCCACATTTAGCTTCCACGTGGTAGAATAGTGCTCCATTTTCATTAACATGTCCCCCGGTGATAGTTTCGGGCGCCACATCCATGCACTCGTAAGTGGATCGCTTCTGTTGATAATGTGCACTAACTAGATAACCGTAGTACTCTCTGGTCCATCCAGTTGGACAGGTGTGTTGTCCTGGTATCATGAGCACTGATCGCTGGGTGACGTGACAGACAGCACATGGTACGTCTTGGTTATGTACTCCACTATTAGGTTGATTACCGGCTTCATATTCTGCCCCGTACACCAACCCATGGTCATCAGTTGCAGAGTTGTAGTTGAGGTACTGCGGTGTCTTGGTGAGACAAATGTAGTTTGCTCCACTACCAGAATGAGTGTAATGGCTGCCAGCAGCCCAGCCATTGTAGACCATACTAGTTCCAGAGACATTCGGGCACACAGTACGACCCCATCTGATGTAAGTGTTCCCTCCACTACCTGGTGAAGGTGGTCCTTGTTGTCCTTGGAGTCCTTGTGATCCTGGTTGTCCATCATTGCCTCGATCTCCGTGTTCTCCCTTTGAGCCATCTCTACCCGGAAGACCAGCGAGTCCATCACGACCATTCAACCCAGGCAGCCCATCACGTCCTGCTAGACCATCACGCCCTGGTACCCCGTCGCAGTATTTCAACCCCTCCTGACCATTAGGTGCTGGTGATCCGACCTCCTGGTAATGGCTTGTGTTGACAGTCTCCGAAGCTCTGGCAGTTCGTTCTGTTACACCTGCATGTACACAGTGTGGGGATAGTGTGGCTAAAACTTGAAGGAGTTCAAAAGTTTGCACTCAGAATTTGTCTAGTTGGACTATTCTTCACTACTACTTATCAGTAACCTTCCTACACTTGCAAATCGTAGGAAATATTTCAAGCCGTGTACAATGTTTAAATCGTAAATCAATCACTACACTTTCACAAAATCTGGTTACTCTTCGAGCCACTCCTTACATACATCCTTCAAGTCATCTTTATCAAGTACCCTTCTGTCGGACTAATGCGTACATGCACTCTTTTGTACCCAAGACATGCTCAGATTGGAATTTGCTCCCCTTCTGTGTGAGATCATCTGAAACATTTATTTCTTTCAAATCATCCTTGCGAAAATGGGCAAACATATAGTATACATAGCCACATACACCACGTCACTAGCTTATTTGCTATTGTGTATGTATCTCTCATTAAAAAAAAAGAAAAAAAAGGGGGTCTGGTAAAATGCGTGAGGCTTCACTGGGGCCAGGTATTAGCGCCCGCGAAGCGCTTGCTGCGGAACTCGACTTCAGATCGAGCGGTCCGACAAGGGTCGTATAATTATGGTCAGAAATCCTCAGTTGGAAATCAGGAAATCAGGAAATCAGATTGCCGTGCGCGCGCCGCTTAGCTAGCTCCGTACCGTCCGTTCACACCACGCGTGTAATTCCGCGGCCACTGAGTTTAAAATTCAATTTACGTGCACGCGATTACAACGTGCTTATTAATAAAACGCCAACCTAACTAAAAAAATTCTTACAGCCACTGCTCCAACAGCAGAGAGTAGAACGACTTCTGGTCTTTCTTTGACGCGGAGCTCACTTCAGGAAAAACTGAAGGAGTCCAGACACAACGGAAAACACACATGTAGCTACCGCAC